ACAGTGGGGCTTCCCCCAACCTGAGGAGGTGGCTTCCTCCCCCCGCCCGCCTCCGCCTCCTCCCTCTCCCCAACACCTATCTCCCTGCCTGAGGAAGCGGAGCCTGTGCAGCCAATCGCCACCAGCCCTCTCAGCGGCACATGCACAGTTGCCCGAAAGCATTACGGACAGACAGACAGACAGACTAAGCCCTTTATTATATTAGAAAGCTCAGGCATTGTATTTATAATCTTTGTCTCCGTTTCAGATCTTTCTGATCTTTACTCCAAAGCTCTAGTTTTATGACTTGAGAGAGCTCTTGGGTTGTTATCTTCCAGAGGATGTCTGTTCACAATAAAACCTTCTTTTCTTGCTCCCATTAATTTTTATGCTGATCAAAATGATGAATCAAAAAGTGTTGGGGGAGCCACCCAGACATCAATAAACTTAAAAAAAAACCCTGCTGGAGTAGGGAGGCGGGAGGGGGGGCGTTGTTTTATGCTGATTTGTCTCCCATGCGCACATTGCTGCTTATGTCCAAACATGTAATTTAATTCAGTATCTTGCAAGTGCTAATGAGTGACAACCTTGGGCCTATCCCGGATGATTTTAGATGCTGCCTAAAGAGATGGACTGGAACTGCGATAAAGGAAATAACACCATCATGCTCAAATTATTGTTCTCCTTTACGGTGAAGGCAGATTTAATCCTTGCTCCTATAAAAGCAAAGGTCCATTTAATTGGTCTGCCCACAGAATTTGATTAATGCAGTTGGGTTTAGAACTTTGCTGAGGGAGAACAACTGGAGCCTGTTCTATTGTTACCCTAATAAAACATCACCATTTGTCAGGAGCAAAAGACTCTTGTATTTTTGCTTTTGACCATCAATCCAGCTATTGAAGTGTCTTCTCTGTCACAGTGCATTTGTCTCATGTACAGCACACACCCTTTCTTCCAAAATCAGCCCCTGAAATTGGGGTAGGTGTAGCAAGTAAGGAAGCTGATTTTCTGCCTGGAATAGAAGCTCCCGGCTTTGTTTTCTGCTCCACAGTGTAACAGCTGTGGCATTACTATTCAAGCAGCTGAGGGAGTCAGTTGATTTTCATGGCTTATTGTTCTTTACTCCATAGGTGTTAACGATCATCTCTCCTTTTTAATGGTTTTGCTATTCTACTAATGAAGCTAACCTTTCTTATGATGATAGCATATGTCTGGAGGGGACAAATCCAGTGTCTATATAACATGGTTCTGGATGTGCCAGGAAAATATCCCAGTGAATATATCGCTCCCTAAGATTCTAGATGTGCCAGGAAAAAAATCTGCCTTGGGCTGAATCGAAAGGTCACTGAAGTCAGACTTTGGAAGTCACTACTTTGGTGTGGTGCTAGCAGAAAACATTAGGCCTTCCTTGCTAGACAAAATGGTTCCAGCTTCTCTCAAATAAATAGTTGTTAGGCCTTTGCTCAAGAGAGAGCTAGATAACCAGTTCTGCTGCCTTCCTTTAAAGATAGTGCCACATGCCGTATTCGGATTTGAGAGAACACTTTCATGCAATTTTGTTGAACTGAATATTGTAAACTATTACGCCTTCTTTAGCTGGTTTCTTAATATACCTCAGGGCTACTACATACATGCTGGAAAAAAAGTACATCTTACTGCTATTGATGTCGTGTAAAAGTTCTTCACCAATTCAGCACAAGAGAGTAGTTTGGTTGTTTGGTGCCCTCTGTGTCGTCTCCATAGTTTCCACTTACTCACCACCACCAGAGTATGGACACAATCCCACTGGCACAATCAGTTATATTGGTACAAGGAAATAACTATGTTGGCTTTTGCTACAGTAAAATGCAGAGGAAAAATGTTTGTTACATGAAAAAGGTCAACATGATTATAGAAAATTGTTTTCCTTTAAACTCCTAAAAGAGCAGTGCTTATAATGATGTCCTTTTAGTGTTCCTAAAATGGAAATTATAGGTAATAGTCATACTAAAATCACGTACTTGATTTTTCAGGTCCTTCTCTACCTTCATCATATTTCAGCCACTTTATTAACAGCATAAAGGTAATTATTCCCACTTGCATTTGACTTCTGCTCAGTTTTTTAACCCCAAATGTTATCATTTTTTAAACATAAGATGAATTATTAATAGGAAAATAGATTTTCATAGATTTCATAGATTTTTAGGGTCAGAAGGGACCTCAGTAGATCACCGAGTCCAACCCCTTGCCCTGGGCAGGAAAGAGTGAGTCTGAACCCCTGTCCTGGGCAAGAAAGAGTGCTGGGGTCAAATGACCCCAGCTAGGTGCTTGTCTAGTCTTCTCTTAAATACTTCCAAGGTAGGGGAGAGCACCACCCCCCTTGGAAGCCCATTCCAGATTTTGGCAACCCTCACCGTAAATAAATTTTTCCTTATGTCTAATCTAAATCTGCTCTCTGTCAGTTTATGGCCTTTGTTCCTAGTAACCCCAAGGGGCACCCTGGTAAACAGAGTATCCCCTATTCCTTGCTACTGTCCGTCCCCCCCGTCCCCCCCCAATGAATTTGTAGAAGGCCACAAGATGTCTTCTCAGCCTTCTTTTGTGGAGGCTGAACATCCACAATTTTGGAACATCCAAAATACAGATTTATACCAGTAATTACAAAATGATATGTTATATAATTATTCAGATTACTTGGTAGTAAAGAGTTATCTTCATTATTGTAGAATTTTCCAAATAGAAACATAAATTGTATATCAGGAATATACAAGAATTATCATTTAGTTGGGTTTAGAAAGCAGATGTTTTCTTTTCACTGAGTTTATTAATTTGAGCTGTTCTTTGTTATTTTCTTCATTAAATTAACTAGCATAAGTTAAGTCCTCTACATTTCCCAAAATTTTTCATATCACTAAAGGAGTAAGAGAACATTTGTATCCACAAAGGCTGCTAAAGCAGGTTTAGCTTCAGTTAATACATAAAAAAATCAATGTATTTGTAATCCTGTTCATCGTGTTTTCAGACCTGATAAAATAAATAAGAAAAATTACTGAGAGGCAACAGTTCTTTCCTCACTTACTTGTTTCCCAGAATAACCTACTAATGGACCTATATATATATATATATATATATATATATGGTATCTCCCTATTGCCAGTATTCACCTACTCCCCAATTATGGATTACTTTAAGTAATGGAATTAAAGACTAATGGAACATTAATTTAAGATGCTTTTATTTTGCTGTAACTGAAATAGAACTGTTATCAGTCTTATATTAGGATAAGATCTATGTCATGTTATCAGAATATTGCATCATAGTGTCACTAGAAGAAATCATATTATATAATAGTATTACCAATCCCCCTGAAGAAACGTTATCAAGTTGAGGACTTTTGTTCAGCTTTGTTTCTACTCATGTAAATCAATTTTTATTTCTATGGCATAATGCATAGTTTGCAGATACTGAAAAATGGATATGATGTGCCTAATTTGATTTAACATAGGGGTGTTAAACTCGCTTCCTGCCCCAGACTAGGTCCAGACAGCAAGGCTCTTTGTGGACTGGATCTAGCCCCAGGCACAGGATGGATCTAGTGGCAGTAGTGGTGGTGGCAGCAGCTCCAGCTCCTGCCCAGTGCTTGTGCCAGGAGTGGCTCCAGCTCCCACCATGTGCTGTATGCTGCGTAGCCTATGCCAGAGCTGGAGCTGCTGCTCCTAACGTGTTTCATGCCAGGGTGGTAGACTGGCTCCAACACAGAGAACACAGAGGTGATAGTTCTGGCTTCAGGTCACACATAGGGCCCATGGAGGTGACAGCTCCAGCTCTAGGTCCTTCTTGAAGCACGCGAAGGCAACAGCTGTAGCTCCAGGCCCTGCATGGGACATGCAGCAGTGGTGGCAGCAGAGTTAGTGGCTGTGGACTTGGGTCATGGTGACAGTAGGCAAAGCCACCCAGCCACAGGACAACCAGGGCTATGTCAGCCCTGGCTTGCCCTCCTGCTGCAAACTCCCATGTCCACCAGGGCCCAAGGTCCCCAGATTCTGTAGCAAGACACTCGTGTCAGTCATGGCTCCCAACTTCTGGTGACGACTGGTAGTCTAGCAGGCCAGGTACACTACTCCATGAGCTGGATCTGGCCCACAGGCCACATTTGACATCTGTGATCCAAATATGGTGATGATTTTGCATTAGTCCCCTCCTGTCTCACATGATGAAATGCCACACAACACACATAACAGTTCTGTTTACTAGGAAACAAAAGAGAGAAATCCCTCAATTGCATATGCTGTTTGTGCCTAGTTCTACCTCCTTTATGTTGCCTTCAGTCTCGGCACCACACAGTTCTTGCTTCTGCTGCCTTCTCCATTCTGACTTGTATCCCAGTAAGAACAGGTGTAAAAGACCAAAAGGATGGAAGAGAAAGCAACACCCCAACATAATGCCAGAAATATTGTGATACTTCCTGTCGATGGGGCTCTTAGTATGTGGGAAAATATTGACTTTATATTTCAAGGTTCCTTCTTCCATCCTGTCATTCCTTTTGCCAACCAGAGGATAAGATGAGAGAAGAAGAGAAATCCAAGAGATGGTCATATGTATGTTTCCTCTTCTCCTGTCCTGTCTTCTTCTCTTGCTTCCCCCCCACACCCCATGTACTATTATCCTCACTTTTCTACATGCCTTTAAAAATCTACTCCACCTGGCAAAACTTTTCTTTCACTTTTTTCAGAGATTGAGTACAAGTGGGTAGAAAATCCCACTTCTCATTACTGACACTGTTTTGCCTCCAGATTCCAAGTTGATAAATTTGCAATGCCATGTAGATTTTTGTTTTGTAAGATAGCAGAAACAGAAGTAGGATAAACACAGTATCTCCTCATAATTTTCTCTTCTTTATGTTAGAGAAATCTTGCCCTTGTATCCTAGGGGGAAAAATGTAGGTTTTCATTCTATGTAATGGAAGAAGGGAGTGATACCAAGAAACAGATTTTAAACTCATATTGTGCTATACTAAGTTTAAAACTATGTGTAATTTTACAAGATCATTGTAGAATTTCAATCTGAATTCAACTCAATGTTTTCATATATTTCTCTTCTTAGGGTGAGAAAGGAGACAGTGGAGAGCCTGGCTTAAAAGGAGAAAAGGGAGAGCCAAATGGAGGGTTCTTTATGACAGGGCCTCCTGGGCCCCCAGGAAGACCTGGACTTGTTGTAAGTGATATGGTCCCTCGCTCAGCAACAAAATTTGTAGTCATTGTCTTGTTGCTTCGTGACTCACTGGAAAAAAGATGGCCAGGTAGTAAATTCATGGTATTTTCTGTTCCAGTAGTTCAGAAAAATTAATGGAAAGCTAAATTTGTGGCAGCCTGAACAATTCCAATAAAAGTCAGCTACTATCTAATCTCTGCCTAGATTTTTTTTTTTTTTATCTTGTGTTAATCACCATACCATCTGCTCTAGACTCAGTTCTGCTGATCCTTGGTAAACTAACTAAGCCTCCGGCGGACAGCAGCTAGCTTCAGCAGCTAGCTTCAACACCTAGCAACTAGCTTTAACATGGGGTTGTCTGAGTTAATGAGGGAAAAGTGTATCAAGCAGGAAGGAAGTTTTGTGGCAGGGGGGAAGGAGTGTGAGGCAAGGACCCTTTCCTGCAATGAGTCTTGTTTGGCCCCACTTCCTACTACTAGAAACCAGTCTTCACCACCTCCAGTAAATAAGGGCCAGGCATTTCTAGTGTATGACCTGGAGATATTCTTATATATGCAGTCGGGTCTGATGAGATATGCTACCTCGCATAGGGAGCACCAGCCTCTTATCATTTCAAGATGCTGTGTTCTGGTGCTCATGGATTGGCAGCCATAGAGAAATGAAGCTTTCTGCTGAGAGGGAGGTGGCAGGACCAGGGATATGGAAGACAGCTGGGTGGTGATTGTGATGAGAGAGGTTATCAGAACAAATTATATGTTGTGCTACAATATACATTTAAGTCCCGATTCTATTTCACCTATTGGGCATCTAATTGGACATAGGCCCCTGAGTATGATCCTATTCCACCCTGCTCAAGTCTCTGAAGAATAGTTAATGCAAAAGCCAGACTGCTCCTCCTGCTCCTCACTGTCTTTTATGACTCAGTCTTAAGGGGCAGATGATTGTGTGTTACAAAACCAAATTAAGTCATGGATTTTCAGGACTTCAACAGGGTGGAGTAGAATCATACTTTGGTGCCTAAGTCCACTTAAATGCCTAATAGGTGAAATAGGATATGGTCTATGCAAGGTTCAGCTATGAATGCAAGGTTAAGATGTACAGTGATATTGTACAGCCTAATCAGCATTGCCTCTCAGCAGAGCTAATTAGCTTGCTTGTAGCACTGCGCTAAGGCAGATAGGCTAACTGGAACTGGGAGGGGTATAGACTGTGCCCACTTCCATTTTTGTAGAGTCTGATACTATATCCTAGGTTTTGCTTCCAAAAAGCCAATCACTTTATCAAACTTACATCTCAATAGGGATTTAAAGACCTACATTTAGATTTCTAGTTTTGAAACTTGTCCCTGGAGACCATGGTACACATGTTGCTCACTCAGGGCCTGGACATGTGACCTACTAATGCTGGGGTAATGCACATAATTTGTGCACCAGTCTGAGCAACATCAATGTCCGAAGCGGACAACCAGCTCTTCTGAGTAGCTGCCACAATAGGTGCTAGTACAGTATTTAGCCAGTAAGCGGGGTGGAGTCAGCAAGAATAGCCTGGTGAGATTTAGCAAACAGCTACCCCAGAATACATAATACCAACACTGGTGTCACTTACCCCCATATATGATAGTTTTACCCATGATTTTTCCCCAGATAATTCTGCACTGGATGCTATATAGTTACCTAAATGCATGGCTGTGTGTCATGCCTCTGTCCCTTATTCAGACCAATGCAAGGGCAGACTGGGTTGGTGTTAAGCTTTTGTGTGTCTAAGCTGTTTCACCCATTTAATTTGTACACAAAAAATAAAAATATTTTCTGTCTTGACAGGGACCAAAGGGGGACTCTGTTGTTGGACCCGGAGGGCCCCCAGGATTACCGGGCCTGCCTGGGTCTCCAGGGTATGGAAAAGTTGGCCCTCCTGGCCCACCAGGCCCTCCTGGGCCCCCAGGACCTCCAGCAATATATGGCTCAGGTGAGAGGGTCTGAATGCTGTTAACTGTGCTTGTATGCACATGTATATGCTTGCAGGCTCCTTGTACCTTGCCTCTGCTCCTCAGACTTCCAGGTTTGAGTCAGGCTGCTTCCTTATCCACTGCACTGTCTGCATTTAAGTTGTTGGGGAAGTTAGGACTGAGAGCACATTTCCACTGACTAGTGCCACAGCAGCTTGCAGCAGCCAAGAGGAGTAATTGCAAAGGAGGGTCCTGCTAAGCCCAGCTCTGGTGCAGGCTCAGAAAGCACCATAGCAAACGAGTATGCTTAGTTGAGATGGAATGCGTGGAGAATTTCACCAGATTGCTACTGAGCATGTGGAAATGGCAATGTTAGTAGGCTTTATGTTGTCAAAATGGGGGGATTTTCATGGAAGCAGCAAAAGGCATCTCTCTAATATAAAGGCAATGCCCCTTTAAATATCTGCTTTTAAGCACAGAAGTACTACAGAGTCTCAACAAAACAGCCATAAGAATGTTTCAACCGCATTGATTTTTGTTGTTGCTTTTTATGCTTTGGTCAATTTTGTAGTAACTGGATTAGCAAGGGAAGGAAATATAACTCATCTGTTCAAATGAGAGGGAGGAGCTTTGTAAACCAGCTGAGCCCACAACTGGCTTCAGTACCTCTCAGTTTGTATCCAGAGTACTTTCTCAGGCGCTCTTATTGCTCAAACCCTGGGAAAACTTAGCTGTAAATCAGGTGTCACAGTGCATGACCCCTCTAGTCTTCCCAAGTGCATCTTTCCAGGTGAGAGGCCTCTTGCCTGTCCTGTGTTGGAATTATGTGGTACTTCCACTCCCAGACTAGGCCCGGGAGCTTGAGACCCTGTGTACCATTGGGATTACTCAACAAGCCTGACTGGGATGGAGCCTGTGATTCTCTTCCCTCTTAGAGCCAGGAGCTGTCTGAGAGTACAGTCAGCCAAGTAAGCCTTTCAAGAACAAAATATTAAGTAATCACAAAAGAAGAAACACAGAAAAACAAGAGCATAGGTATTGTTAACACCACTGGCAGGCTACCAGAATATCTGTGGGCATGTCTATTCCATAAACTGCTGTATCAGGAAATACATCCTCAAGCACCCCATGCTGCTCTGCACAGACTGGCTCCTGCATCAGAAGTAGTATAGCCACATTTGCACAGTGCTTCTTGCAGCTGTTAGCACCCTTGAGTGACAGTGCTGATCAATCTCCCCATGGCACCACAATGAATGCAGTGGCACTGCTTCTGGTCCAGGAGACAGCTGATGCTGAGTAGCACTGTGTGGGTGAGGACAACCCTTCCTGCCATGTAAGTTTCCTGCATAGGCAAAGCTAATGACTCCACATCTGAGAGCTCAGTTGTAATCATGTTTTTTTCTTGTTGTTGCCTCCAAGGCCCAGTTAGGTCCTACCACAATACAATTCAAATAAATTTAGTGTACCTTTACTCATCCTATCAGCCAGCTGATCAGAATGGCCAATACCAGGGATAGGGCAAAGTTAAACGCAAATGCAAGGTGGGTTTTTATTTTACCCTGTTTATACCTTAAAGGGCTTATACATCTCCAAATTGTTTTGGTCACATGTTTCTATGACCACTTGTATTGCTGACCATGCCACTATGAACTAGTCATGTTACTGATCATGAGCTAAACACTCATCATTGCCCATATATGACTGAATCACTTTTGGTGCCATGAACCTTACAATTTGCTGATTTATAAACTTATGTTGTAAATGTTGTACCAGGCTTGTTTGTACCATCCTATATGGTTTCCTTATATACTGTACCAGTTTGTACTACTTCTGTCCATCTCAGAATATTCTTGAATAGATTCCAAATATTTTGGTGCATCCTGTTGCCTTCCACTGAACTTCAGACCTATATCTTTTAACTCTTACTGCTCCTGCCCTACATTCTGGCATAAGTTTCCCACAGACCCTTTGCCCCTCACCTCTGTTCCCAGCCCCCCTCTTCAGAAGCCATGTCTGTTATCAGTGTCCCAGGTATTTGTCACCTGTATCTCTTGAATTTAGTCAGATTGGTTTATGCCCCTGACCAGAGGACTGGGAATAGATTTCCAAACAGTACGTTTTTCACATTTTCTTTTAATTATCAGTAAATATGCAGCTATCAGAAATATTTACTACTTCCCTTTTTGTAGTCACACACAACTACGCCTTAGCATTATATTCCCTTCCTGGTTGCATAAATGGTCATGCTTTGGCTTCTTACATGCCATTTTTGGCACACAAGCACCTAGACAAATTCTATTCCTTGACACGTAGCTCTGCATTTGTGGCTGATTATAGACAACTAGGAAGGCATGCAGAGCACACACACATACCTATTGTGTATGGGTGTATTGTTTAGATGACCAGGAACAAATAGAATGCAGGCTCCAGTAAACAACAGTCTTAGTAATTAAATATAGCTATATATCATATTCATAAAATGTTACTAGCATCTTTAATGTCCATAATGCCAAGCACTTCTAAAATTGCTCGATAGACACAGTCAGAGTAACCAAAATAACATGGAACATTTGCTGTGTTAGCTGTACTGCTACTGATCTTAGTCCTTCTTGACCTCCTCCTTGTCCTGGCTTTATGCAAAGCTTATTTATTCAGCTACATGATGGATGTGCAGGTAGTAACTTAACTTCTGTTTAGCTCCATCAAAGCTCCCGTATGCTGTATGGTGGAAAACAAGAAGTTCCTGCCCTTGTCAGCTGGCACATAGCAGTTAGTTCAAAGGGATCCTTTCAACAGCACCGGAAGTTTGGAAAGATATTTCAGTGTTAGGTGCAGTTTAACAATAACAAACATATATTCTCTAGAGCTCTGCGAGGCTTCAGGCTGTGCTTCGGATCCAGAGAAGCTTCGGACATTTTGGCATCCGAAGTGGCATATCCAGATCAAAGCTCTGGCTTTGTTAGGCTTTCCAAAGTGGTTTGGAACTTCTGAAGCACTTCAGAAAAGCTTCGGAGCCGCTTTGGAGATCTGGCCATAGGGTATAATGGGGAATCAATTAAATATCTATAACCTTGTTGTTTTTTGTCTGATTTGGATTGAACTTGCAGGGATGGTAGCCTCTGCTGAGAGCATGAAGCCTGCCAAGTTTCAAGAAGATCAGTGCAGGGGTTTGGGGGAACTGTACTCCAAATTCTTGAAAGCAAAACTCATGTTACATGTATGTATTATACCACAGGGGGGTGAAATCTGCAGGGATGGTATCCCCTGGTGAGGTCACAAAGCCTGCCAAGTTTCAAGGAGATAGGTGTAGGGGTTTGTGGGGAACTGCACCTCAAACTGCTGACAGACAAAACTTGTGACATAGATGACCCTGTGTGTGTTAAGGCACAGCAGGGTGAAAGCTGCAGAGATGGTAGCCCTTGCTGCGGCCCCTGCCTAATGGATCATGCCCTGTCTTCTCTGATTGTTTTTTCTGTTACTCATCCCACAACTCACATGACAGGCAAGATACCCAAGAAATTTTTCTGATGGACCATGGATGAAGAAGAGTTGGAATATTGTGCTAAATCCAGCCACCTACCCTCACCAGAGCTTTTCAGATAGAAGGAAAATTACCACGTGGGATTTCTCCTCCAGTTTGTAAATATTATGTGCCAGTATTCTCTGTCCTGTAGAGCTCATGGCACAGTTTGTATGGTTGACAGGGCTTCAGAAACTTCAAGTACAGATTCTAGGAATCATGGGGCAGGGCTGGGAGTGGCTGGAGACTGTTTGTATTTATTGTGAGAAATAAAGAAAATGTAACTCAAATTCCTCTAGGGTGCTTGGGGACACCAGCTTCCAGACTCCCAGATTATCTAAAAAATTATCCCTTGACTATGAAGACTCTTTTCTCTTTCCACTCCTCAGTGCACCTGAGCTGTGCTTTCCATTTCCATACATCTTTCCCCCCCTCCCTAAAGCATCCCATCACACTCTTCTTTGCCGCCCTTAGCCAAGCTGGGACTTTCTAGTTTGGGCCAAACGGATGTATCTAAACATGAATGGAAGGAGCTATATTCAACTCCCAAGGAGCTATTTAGCTCTTATTCAGCACATCTACACAAGACACTCTACTGCATAGCAGAGTAATTTGCTGCACAGTAAAGTGTCACCATCTACTCATGCATGGCAATTAGGGCACAGTAGACTAATTTACTGTGCTGCTGGATAGTCCCATCAGATACAAGTCATCAGTAAGTTGCTGTGCTTAAAAGATGGTGACATCAAGATTAGTTTACTTCAGCTCAAATTGAACCAAAGTATATTCAGTCACATTAATTGCACATGTAGAGACACACCTACTGAGATGCAACTAGCAAGAATTATTTGTGGCATTCCAAACCTCTGAGCAGTTTCAAACAGCCACTGACATGGTGTGATGCATGCATGTTCAAACTGATGAAGAAATGCATCCTTCCCTCCCTCCTAAATATGGAGTCTTCATTCCTAAATTCAGTAGCCCAAGGCTCAGAGTGAACAAGACTTATCTGGGCTTAACTGCCCCCTTCCTGGGGCCTCAACACATGCCCTCTTCTCTGGGGCCTCAATACTCCACCCCTTCACCAGAGTGACTACTCTGTCCCACTCACTGGGGCCCACATTCCATCCCTATGCTGGAGTCTCAGGGTATTACACCCCCATGGGCTTAGGTGCCTCTCCCATAGGCATGCCTGGCCCTGCTACCCTCCAATCTTAATGACCCACTGAGTGGTGGGGGCTGGGGTTATCAGGAGCCCCTACTCACCTTTCATCAGGGAGGTAACTGGCCTAGCATTTCTGGGGGACTGTCCCACCATGGACAGCCCCAGCAGACCACCCTTCCCCAGCAGGGTGCAGTTTTCAGTCTTACCCAGGACCAAGCAGGCCTACCTGCCCTGGTCTAGCTCCCTCATTGGGGCTCCTGGATGCTGTCCTTGGGCTCTGTCTCTCACTGGATCCAGCTCTCACTCTGGCCCCATTCTGATCTTATAACAACCTGCATGCTGACTGACCCTTACCATCTTCAGCTGTGATGTCCCCCCCAGTCAAAGGGAGCTCCAGCCCTTACAGGCTCTGGCGGTGCCTCCACACCAGTCAGGGTGCCAGATAGCTCACAGTGGCCCTGGTCTGCCCCTGATGTTGGGCTTAATTGCCCTTCAGTCCTGGTCCTCTTGCACTGACCATTGCAAGGGACCAGAGAGTCAACCTAGCAGCTGCTGACCCCCATACACCTGAGTCCCACCAGAAAGCCTTCTTCTACTCCAGAGCTTGCCTAGCCCCCTTGTAGGCCTACTAGCTGTTAGCCCCATGCCTAGGCTGCACCTTATTCTAACTAGGCCCAAGCCTTCTTCCTGGGGCTCTGGACCCCACTGGGTCTGTAGGAACCTCCTGCCATCCCCATAGTTCCTCTCTTACCACCAAGGTGTTAGATGAATAGCAGCAGATGTTGTTGCATCTTCAGCTTGCAGTGAACTGCTGCCTCATCCCTGAGAGCCAGGATCTAAAATGGCTGCCTCATCAGGGCTAGCCTGCACCTGCCAGCTGCCTGCTTTCAGCCCTTAAAGTGACAGAGCACCAAAGGTGCTCTGTCACAGCTGGCCTATAGTTCTGAATTTTTGATGTATAGAAAACATCTTTTATGTTATTTTTAGAGTATTGTATGGCATCCTGCAATCTCTGTATAAATGGTAACCAGGGCCTTCACCCTGCAAGTACACACATGCTTAACATAACCTTGTAAACAGGGATTAGTCTTGTTGTTAAAGTTAAGCATGTGCATAAAAGCTTGCAGAACAGCTGTGTAAGGTAGCCAGATGTAAGAATGCAAACAAAAAAATGAAATCACAAAAAAACTGGTTTTAAAGCCTTTGTAAAATATATTTTCTGCATATTTTTTTATGCAGGACTTTGGGCTTGTCTACAGTACAGCAGTAGTGTGTTCCAATTGACTGTTCCTAAGCATGCTTCTACCCACCCAGTCCCCCTGGCACAATCTAAACTCAGATATAATCTAGAGGAGATACTCTAGGCATCCTTGTATGGCTGCTCTTGTGACCCCAATCTCCAGCATGCTGGAAAGCAGTGGGTAGAGATGACCCTGGAGCATTCTCCCGGTTGCATTGTTGCTTTGGTGTATGCAGTTAGGAGCAGCTGGTCAGGGCATGCTCAAAAATGTCCAGGTTGGGACAAGCTGCTAAGCAAACACGTTACCATGAACTCTCACTGTCAAAAAACTTTACCCTGCACAGCACAACCAAGTCTTCTCTGTCTGTCTCCCAAGAAGAAAGACCTACAAAGTAAACTTTTGCTTTATTTTAGCAGCTGCAATTCCAGGGCCACCAGGGCCTCCAGGAGAACCAGGATTACCAGGGACCAGGAATCTGGTAAGAGACAGAAACTTTAAAATTTGCCTTTTCTTGCTGCTTTGTAAGTCATTGGAAACAGTTCTGTAGAAGACAAAGCAAGTTACATCAGCTTCTGAGCCACTGATGCCTCACTTCTGGTGAAACAGTAGATGGGAAGAGAGAGGGAATAGAATAGAACAGAGGAAAGCTGTGTTTGTGGGCTTACTATCAGCTTCTTATCCAAAGAAGTGAGAAGTAGAATGAGGAGGATTCTGGGTATGTGTAGATGTTACATTTATATGAACCTAAATAGGGTTAAGTCAATCTAAGTGCTGATCTGTACACACATTTGGGGAGGCAAAAAAGGGTAGCCCAGTCTAACTTAGTTCACCTGAGGAGGTGAATTAAGTTAGATCAGGAATGAGTTAGCCCAGTCTACTGAATGTCTGTAAATGTTCAGAGTGCAGTCCCAGGGCTAGGAAAGTGATCCCCACTTCAGGGCTGCACTTTTCCTATCCCCCAACTTTGACTGGGCTAATTCCCAGACCAATCTAAATCATTCTCATGCTCAGAGGGAGTTACTTGCTGAAGTATAAGCTCTGGGTTATTTTTGCATGGGTTTATGCTGTGGTAGGACAGTAGGGGTGCTACTACGCTGAGCCACCCACCTCCCTGTGCCCAACCAACACCGTGCTTCAGGTGTCTCCCCTGGGGTGCCTGTGTCCAGCTGACCCCCTTCCTGGAGCACACCCACAAGTCTGGGGTAATTGCTGCCACCACCCAGGCTCTGGTCTGCATTAGGGCTCTGTGCAGCCCAGGATACACAGACCCTGCAGACCTTGGGGGTGGTTTGCCCACTGGTAGTATTATTTCTGTGTGCTCCTTATAGCCTGGAGCCACCCATCACATTGATGACTCATGTTCAGCTTGGAGTCAGCTATGATTCTAAGATCCCTTTCTGCTGCTGTGCCTGCTGAGAAGGTCATCCCCCAGCCTGTAAGTGTGTTGGTGGTTCTTCTTGCCCAGGTGCAGCACTTTGCACTTGTCTTTGTTGAACTGCATCCTATTTCATTCTGCCCCTTTTTCCAACCTGTCCAGATCCTCCTGGATCTGTTCCCTACCCTCTGGTGTATTAACTTTGCCCCATAATTTGGTATCATCTGCTAACTTGGACAGGGTGCTCTCTACGCCCTTGTTCAAGTCACTGATAAAGACATTGAATAGCACTGGTCCAAGGACCCAAGCCTTGTGGGACTCCACTACCCACATCTTTCCAGGTCAATATCGACTCATTCACCATCACTCTCTGAGTGCAGCCTCTAAGGCAATTTGCCACCCGCCTGACCATGTAATCATCTACATCACAGCCTCTCAGTTTATTTATGAGAATGGAATGCGATACCATATCTAAGGTCTTCTTAAAGTCTAGGTAGATGACATCTACCTCGACTCCTACGTCTAAGCATTTTGTGACTTGGTCATAAAAACAAACAAGGTTAGTCAAACAGGATCTGCAATGAATCCGTGCTGATTTCCTTTCAGCATTATTTCCCTTGCTGGGCTCCCACAAATGTGATCCTTAATGATTTTTTCTAGGGTTTTCCCAAGGATGGAGGTGAGACTAACTGGCCTACAGTTTCCCAGTTCCTCCCTCCCCCCACATTGAAAATAGGGATCACATTGACCCTTTTCCAGTCCTCTGGGATGTGACCAGATAACCATGAGTGATCGAACAACCATGCCAACGACTCTGCTATGTCTCTGGCCAATTCCTTCAGCACCCTTGGATGAAATTCATCTGGGCCTGCTAATTTGAACACATCCAGCCCCTCCAAGTGACCTTTCACCTATGATCCAGTTGGAAGATTTTTCTTGGCCTGGGTCTAGGAATACAAATGCAAAGAACTCATTGAAGAGCTTAGCTTTGTCCCCCCTCTCTGTCACCAGTTTGTCCTGGAGGGGTCTTATGCTCTCTATATACCTAAAGAAGGACTTTTTGTTGTCCTTAATTTTTGTTACCAGGCTTAAATTCTAATCTTGATTTGGCCTTCCTAACTGATTCCCTGCAAGTGCGAGCCAGGGAGGTATACTCCTCCTTGGTAGCTACCCCTGTTTCCACAGCCTGTATACCTCTTTCTTTGCCGTTAGGCTTGCCTGGACTTCCCTTTCAGCCAAGAGGGCTTCTTGGCCCCTTTGCCCACTTTTACGAGCAATTGGATTGTATCCTTCTGCGCCCATAGGATCACTCCCTTGAGGAACAACCACCCTTCCCGGACCCCCATTTTGCCAATGCTCTTGAGCTTTAACACCTCATTAACTAATCTCCTGAACACGCTGAAGTTATCCTTTCTGAAGTCTAGCACTTAAGCCCTGCTGGTTAGTTTACCCACCCTTCGCCGGATAGTGAATTTAATCAATCGATTATCACTATCCCCTAGGTTACCTTGTACCTGCAGATTCCCCACCAAGTCCAGCAAGGTGTTTTCCGTATACATCCTGTGTTAGGTAGAGCTCCCATATGCAGGTTAAGAACCTGTTTATTCAGAGACTTGTTTATTCAGCTTTCTGCTAAATTCCACCAAAAGCTCCTTGAATGACCTTGGCATTGTTGGCATTCATTTTCAAATGCCTTAATAAGCAGACCATCCAGTTTACTCAGCCATATCAAATCTCTCAGCACCACAAATATAACAGAAATTACTTGACCTCCCCATTCAATCCCTGCAGGACTGCTTCCTATCCCAACCTTCAGTCAAGGTTGCCATCTCTTCCAGTTGTTTCTCCCAACCATTCAACATAATATTGCGCTATTAAGCATCAATCAACAAGCTAGAAGAGCAGCTTAAAATGAAGAGACCTTCTGTAATCAGTACCAGACAACATAATATTTGCTTATAAACTGAATACATTTGATATCGGAAATCAGTGAAGCACAGTAATCTGATCATAGCCAGCTACATATTTTATTCAACAAGTGACATCTCAGAATAGTGAAGCAATCTGCTACAGCAGTGGTTCTTAACCTTTTTTGGACTTGAGGCACATCTCATTGGACTCAAGGTACCCCTCCATAACTTTTGTGAATTGAGTTGCACCCAATTTCAAAAACTAACTTATATATTACAGTGCTTATCCCCTTGCAGGGATGAAGTAGTGGGGGTGGGAATTAGCCAGGCAGGGATGAGTCTTAGTCTGTGTTTATCTGCATATCTCATAGATTTCATAGACATTAGGGCTGGAAGGGGCCTCGCAAGATCATTGGGTCCAGCCCCCCACCCAAGAGGCAGGAAGTCTGTTGGGGTCAAATGATCCCAGCAATATAAGCGTCCAAATGTGCCTTAAAGGTGTCCAGAGTAGATGCTTGCACCACTTCTGGGGGGAGTCTGTTCCAAACTTTGGGAACTCGGACGGTAAAGAAGATTTTCCTTATGTCCAGTCTAAAATGGCTTTCCTGGAGTTTGTGACCATTAGACCTTGTCTTCCCTTGGAGTGCCTTGGTGATCAGACGTTCTCCCAGTTTCTGATGCACACCCCTTATATACTTATAGGCTGCTACCAAGTGATCCCTGAGCCTTCACTTCTTCTTGCACCTCATGGTACTCTTCAAAGGATCTGGCAGCACCCCAGGGAATGAGAATCACTGTTCTATAGTCACCTTCATTCTAAGATGCTATGCTTTGAAATTGGTTTCTTTCTAAAGTACCAGCTGGAGAAAACCACTCATCCAAACCTTGTTTCATTATTTGATTAGTTCTGCATTCTCATTCAGATTCAGTTAGAGATTATGTCTCATAAAAATCAATAAACTAAATATCTGAATTAAGTTTGCTAATTGGATCAGACCAGTAAGACAAATATGATAGTAACATAAATTTTGTTAGTTCAGTGAATGAGATATAATTTACAAACTGCATCCTGCTTCACTCCAGCTACTGTTGCTGAATCTCTTTTGAAACTTCCAAATCATCTTTCAAATTCTGCTGCCCCAGCCAATTGTACCAAGTTGTAACAGTGTATTTATCCCATAAAAAACAAAATATATCCCCTGTGTAATTCTGTTTAAATCAGTGGAGATACAATATAAGTGAATTTGGCCTACACTCCCCACTGTTCTAAATGCTTATGCTTACATTATGTTTCACAAGAAGAGTTGGGTGAGAATGAGATGCAATGGGCTCTATATGCATTTACTGCTCAGGAAATGTCTTGTCATTACTGGCATTCTTCCTCAAATGAATGTATTTATCTGTAAATATCCTTTGCATTTCATGCTTCTAGGCGTGGGGTTTATTTTATTTTATTTTTGATTACTTGACAGGTTACAACATTCAGAAATATTGAGGGTATGCTGCAAAAGGCTCACTTGGTGGCAGAAGGAACATTAATCTATCTGCGTGAAAACAGCGAGGTCTTTATTCGTGTTCGAGATGGCTGGAGAAAATTGCAGGTATTATAGCACTGCTTCATGATTCGCTTCAACTCTCCTATCTTCAATGAAGTTGCAAATATTTTCAAAAAAGGGAGAGTTGGTACAAATACTTTCATTTCATACAGTACTTTCTTAATTGCTGTAATTTTTTCACTGTTATATGTTTCTATTTCCCTCTTCATTCTGTGTCCTTCCAGCTGGGAGAATTAATTCCCATCCCTGCTGAGAGCCCTCCTCCTCCAGCAGTTTCAAGCCATGTAAGTGCAAAACTCTTTTGGACTGTGAAAACTTGTGGGTCTGAGTAAGCAGAAACTGGGGGAACATTTGGCAGATATTATATACAGGCTCCCCCACAACAGGCTTTCCGGGGTGGTGGGGGAGCAGGAATTCTAACCTGGGTGACCTTTCAGCCCTGCACATTGGTCATGTCACTACATGAGTTCCCTAATTGGTTATGACTAGGCATTGGCTACTCTGTTTACTTAAGAGTAGGAGTCTACTGAACTCAAGGTGGCTGCCAGCTGATTTTGCAGGCAGATTGCAGGGCCAGCACCCATTTTCACAGGCCAAGCATGGTGGGGACCCCACACCTCTCATTGGCTGAGGGGCCCTGGTGGCCCTGCCCCTCCCCACTGATCGGCTGTGTGGGCTGTCATATGGCCACACCCTTCACTGCTGATTACCTGCATAGGCTGTCTGCCATGTGGCCCTGCCCCTCACCCACCACCGATTGGTGGAGAGAGGTGGGTCCATATGATGGACAGCCCTCGCAGCCAGTCAGTGGTGAGGGGCGGGGGGGGCAGCCACCTTGATGTGCCAGCAGCCATTCTCCCCCCCCCCCCCCCCCCTCCCCCCCCGTGGCTGAGCCGCAGCGGCCACAAAGAGTGCTGACTCCCCAGAGGGAGCCAGCATATATTCAGTAAGTTTTTTGTTGTTTTTCCAGGGAACCTGTGCTTTTTCACAGAGCCCACCCAAAATCACAGTTCTGCAAAAATCACAAAATTGCAATTTACAGTAGGTCCCTACCTATGAGGTTCTGCATACTGCTGAGGCAAAAAGGCATCTTTGAAGCAGTGTTCGAATAGTCCATACCCTAGTTTTGAATATGGAAATGAGCCATGTCAAGCCCAGGGTTAGTTTCAGAGAAACTTAGAAGTTAAATGGATGCAAGTCTTTAACACCTAGCATGTAACTTCAGTACCCTGTAAGACAGTGATAAACATGAGCCGAGGGCTAACTAAGATAAAGCTTCTGTTATTATTCATTTTTATACGGGCAAGCTCTGTTACAGGGAAAGATCTACTTTGATCCCCTGGTAGGTCCTGTTCCCGTCTCTATGAGGGAGCTGCTGAGGCATGGTGCAGTCCATATTTTGCAGTTCATTGGAAATCTTATTTCACCTCACCTTCATTCTTTTGTTTTTAATCCATTCTTGCCCCAACTCCTCCAAACTCAGTATTAGCAGCTTCAGTGCATATCTTCAAGTACATTCAACCACTGATGATCCCTCAGTCAGATAAGTGTTAGGCTCTGAGACCTAGAAAAAGCATCTCTGTTTAGGACAGCATTTCACCATGTGCCTAGGTGACTTTCTAAATTGGTAGAAGTACGTTAATTTAAAGTTTGAGAATATCATCATTCAGAGCAACACAATTTCACATTTCTGTGGTTCCATTTTTATTTTATTAAGAAATATTACCGAACAGCTGAAATGCTAATCTGAGATGTTTCCCCCAATGGACTGAAGTAAAAAAAGGTTGTGTTTTCCCTGCTCTGGACATCATAGTCAACTTATATTTGTGAGTGATTTGTTGCTGTGTTTTCCACCACAGGGCTTTCAGTCTCTTCCGGCACTGACTACTTTTTCCAACATTAACACTGGAAAACCATCAGTAAGTAAGATAATTATATTGTAGAGACACCACTGAAGCTGCATAGTTGCAATCTGTGTACAAAGTAAAGTAAATCTCTTTCATGTGCTTTCAGGGTATCCTCTAAATTCACAGAACTTATTTTGAGACATTTCAGTTACAGCTTTCAAAGAATTTAGAAACTATACAGACCTTTAAATGGCCTCATTAAGCATTATTCTTTGGTGATTATATATAACCTTTGTCATATGTCTGTAGTAAATACATACCTGATTTTCTTAGCTGTAAATAATGGACTCAATCTAAAATACAGGCTACTTTTTTAAGGTTATGACTGGGTTTTAGTTAGCATTATTAGGACTGTTTTCATCTTTCCCATGAACACTTGATGGATATTTTCTGTCAAAAGGATCCTTTATAATCTAAGCTTGCATTTTTGGAAAAGTTTTGTTTCAATATTTAAAGAAAGATGAAAACATTATATCTGAAAAATAACATATGAATCAGAATTTAAATTTTTATGTTGTGATTAAAATATGTGTATTGTATTTGATAACAATAGATTTTATGTGGTCAATGCATGACAATGTCTTTAACTATTTATTTATTCACTTCCGAGTTTGGGGGGTTTGTAAGTAATGTGGTGACAACTGAAGGGTTACTATTTAGCAAATCTCAACAGTTGTTTAAAACTGAAATTTTCTGTTTGGATGTCTAACTGCTCAAAGATAATAATATATTTCTGCTGTGGGCTGGATTGCAGCTCATCAAACTGAACATGACTTATTTAAGAAATGTGATGTTATGGTAGCAACTATAATTCCTCATCATGAAAGGTTTAGAATAAATGTTCTACTCTGAAAAATATTCCATATCAGTCCCAGCTATCTGTCTGTCTGTTTTCCTCAAGGACATGTTTAGATTTTATAACTGAAAAGGTTATTGTTTCTTTTCTGTTTTCAAGCTGCATCTGGTGGCTTTGAATTTCCCATTTTCTGGCGACATGCGAGCAGATTATCAGTGCTTTCAACAGGCCCGGGCAGCAGGTTTAACGTCAACATACAGAGCTTTCCTCTCATCACATTTGCAAGATCTGTCCACAGTTGTGCGAAAAGCAGACAGATACAGTTTACCAATAGTTAATCTTAAGGTAAAAATAAATGCTTTGGATTTCTTGTGTAAAGAGAGATTCTTAGGATGCCTATAGATATGCAGAGAGTCTGATTAATCAAGTCTGCTGGAGCGTGTTAATTAACACGTTTCTAGCAGCCTCTGCATCTCATGTAACAACATCCCTGCACTTCAAAATGGCAGTGGGGGCACTTAAACTAAAGCTCACATGATGAGCTTTAGTTAAAGCGCCCTCACCACCATTTTAAAGCACAGGGATGCTGATACATGAGATGCTGCAGGTGTTTTAGTTAGAGCAGCTCTCGGAGCCGCTCTAATTAAAGCACCACCCACCATCACCCTCAGGAGCATGTGTAAAAATGCCCTTACAATCTAAAAACCTTGAAACTCAACTGAAGTGAAAGGTTTGCTCTTGCCTATTTTTGGATCAGAGCTTTTTGATTCAAAGTATGCTTTGTGCTACAGCGTATAAAAAAGTTTGCTCTTACCATCTCCCACTCAGGCTGCATTTTCTACGTTTAAGGCTAATGGTAAAAACAAAACCATGAGGATGTTTACTTAGAGTGTACTGGTATCAAGGCAATAGCATAGTAACTTTTTGGGTGCTTCTGTTTCAATGCATCTGTTTTAGAAGCAGCTTTGTAATTCTTGCCCCAAAGTGAGTCTTCATTTCTCAAAGTTGCACTCTGGCAGTTACTCTCTAGTCTTCCCACAGGGCTTAGTGAATTAAGGTGAGCGCATACGCCATCTTTAAAAATGATGGGCTAAATTCTGTGCCTAATAGTTTCTCTGAATTTCCACCAGTGTATTTGAGAGCAAAAGGTGACTTGGTGTCTGGAGCATGAGTTATCCTATGGTCTTGCACACGGGCAGGTATACACGCGCTAGTCTTGAGAAAAACATGCAAAAGTATAAACCACGTCTCTGAAGTATTGGCTGCCTTCTAGGGCTGTGCGAAGCTTCAGTCCCCGATTTGATTCGATTCAGTGGAGATTCGGCCCAGTTCGTTGGCCGAATCTCCAAATCCAAATCAAATCAGAGGACCCTTTAACCTCTCCGAATCGATACGGAGAGATTCAGGAAGATTCAGCGATTCAGACATAGACACAGCTTTAAATGTTTTTTCTACGTACCTCAAGGTAGCAGGCAGCTCATGAATGCTGCAGTGCTGGGGCACATGGAATGTCCCACAAAAGCACGGGGGGGCTTCCTAGCACGCTCAGCAGCAGGACCCAAAAGTGGACCAGAAGCACTTCCAGTCCACTTCTGGGTCCACCAGAGAGTGCGCAGGGGACTCCCTGGCACCCCCCAGCTCAGCGACTGGTGTCTCCTGGGTCTGGGGGTCCCCCGGGGTCCCCCCACGGCTGATTGCCAAGCCAGGGAGGGCACAGAGAGGCCCCCCCACCGTGCTCCCCAGTGGACCCAGAAGTGGACCAGATGTACTTCCGGTCCACTTCCAGGTTCACCACTGAGCACATAGAGTGCACCCCGCCCTCCACACACACACACTCCTGTGGGACACTCCATCCGCCCCAGCATTGCGACGTTCACGAGCCACCTGGTACCTTGAGGTAGGTAGAAAAAACATTTATTGCTATGTTTATGTCTGAATCAGCATCAAATCTTCAGATGCATCTGACTCTCCGACAGTGGTGAATAATTCCACTTAAAAATCCCCTGGGAAAACTCAGAGTTCTGAGAAGAAAATTCCCTCAAATAAAAAATTCCCACTTTAGGAAATGAATGGTTGAAGGCAGTTTAATAAGCACAGTTCTGTGATGCAAAGTCCTGTTTCAATTAACAGTCCTAGCATGATTGTGAATTTACCAGAATTTTCACTGATTAAAACAAACTGCTTTCAGCTTCCTTTTCAAGGAAAAGCCAGGTTTTCTAGTGAAGGGGGAATTCTCAAATGAATTCTTAGACCATTACAACGATGTTAGAAATTAACCTCACTCTGCACCCTCTGACTTCCTTTAGCATCATTTTTTCTATACTGAGTGCAGTTGGGTATCTTCAACTCATTTTCCAGTTCAGTCACACTGGCCAGGTCTACACATGTGGCAGACTGTGCAGTTGCTTAACCAAGTACTAAATGACTTCACAGTAACTGGCGTTACTGCGCAGTACCGTTCCCGCATGGTTGTTTTTTTTAGTTGCTACTGCACAGTAGCTCGTTACTACTGTGCAGTAGTGTCACCATCATGGTTTATGCCCTGTGATGCTACAGCACTGTTGCTACTGCGCCGTAGCATCTCATGTAGACTGGGAATTCAGTGTATTGTAGAGGCAGGCCCCATTGTAAGTTGTGGTAGGAAGAGGAGAGCAGAGAGCTGTTCAAGAACTCACTTGTGTAAGGCCTCTCAGGTACAGAAAAATGAGGTTCAGCATTATGCAGAAGAAGAGTGGAGAGTCGGATAGAATAGCAGAAATGTAGGCAGTACGGTGAAGGGATGGAATGAGCCAAGCAGACACCCCTCTGACAGGAAGGGGAGAGGCCTAAGGCAGAGGCACATGTGCATGAGCTGTTAGTATAAAGGCTTTAGATAGAGTGAAGAGATGAGGTCAACCAGGATTAAAGTACAAGATCATAGCATGAAAGAGGCTAATGGAATTATGAGTATTTTTACAGGTAGATTAGAGTTTGGATTTATAGAATTCCTTTAGGCCTCTGCACTAAAGTAGTAAAAGCCATGGCAAATGGCAATGCAGAACATGAGATTCACCTTGCATTTAAAATTGACAGGGAGAAATACTCTTCGCTAACTGGGAATCTATATTTACTGGCAATGGGGGTGAGTTCAGCATCCAGATTCCAATATACTCCTTCGATGGGAAGAATGTCATGACAGATCCGGCTTGGTGAGTTTACACTAGTGCATATACTGTTTTATAGGGAATATATCTTTAGTAGCTATTTCATGTGCCATGGACTGTTAAAAGTATGAGAAAAATAATTCATCTTTTCTCCTTTTCTCTTTTGGGCCATCCTTCTCCTCTATTTCTGCCACCCTACTTGACTGGTAATTAAAACATCCCAGGCATTCTCCTCCCTGTTGTCCTCTCCATTCTATCTGTCCCCTTCCAGTTTCCATCTGTATCTTCCTTCTTACACTGTTTGCTTCCTGTCTACAGTGAATTTCCATCCAGGATGGACGTAGAATAGCTCTTATAGATAGAGGACTAAGACTGAATTGTATCCAAAAAAAAAAGGTTGTTTTCAGGAAAATAACTTTACGAATTATTTTTAGGCCTCAGAAAATAATGTGGCATGGCTCAACTGCAAATGGGATCCGACTAGTTAGCAACTACTGTGAAGCTTGGCGTACGGCTGAAATCGTGGCTGTGGGACAAGCATCACCACTGAAGGCTGGGAAGCTCCTGGATCAAAAAGCTTACAGCTGTAGCAACAGGTTTATTGTTCTCTGTATTGAAAACAGTTTCATATCTGATATCCAAAGAAAATAAGTCATCTATGCACATAAAAACATTCAATTATATTCTATAAAAGTTGACACTGAAATTGTTAATGATGTAAATATTCTTTTTTTTAAACATTAAAAAATTGCACATTTAAAAATAAAATAACCAAAGAAAAAGTACCTCAATGCAGGCAGTATTCCAGTGGGGTGGAGTTCATCCCTTACAGGGGTGACTGGCTGAAGGCCCCTTCTACCACTTGAACCACACAGAGGAGTTGCATGGGAGTTAGCAGGCTAAGCAACCATACAGAAATGTCATCTCTTCACCTCCAGCATCCTATGAAATGAGCTAGGTGGGCTTGGGGCTGAAGATCACTTAGGGGGATGAGCCAAGTGTAGTCTACAAGCAAAACCAAGGAAGAGACCACAGCTTCATTCTTCTACAGGTCCAGTGGCCATGGTTCCACAAACATCCGGCACAGAGAAAGATTGCTATTACTCCTCTGTCCTATACGAGTGCTATACCCTGCCTCTAAGGGCGCAGACAGAAGTGACAATTTTTGTTCAATCTGGCCACAGGAAGCAGTTCATAGCCATGACTAAGCACAAGTGCATGGCTGCATACAGCTTCAAAAATGGCCAGTCAGGTGAAAATCTGACCCCTCATTCTATGATGATGAAGCATCTTCTGTAACGTCTGTCTGCACTGCCTGCCAGCCTGTCACTGTTTTCAGAATGGAAGGGGAAAACGGGAGTGGAGGGAGTTCAGTCTGAGGGTTTTTCAGCCCCTGCTGGAGGGTGAAGCAGGTGTATTGGAGCCAGGTTGGGGGGCTCCTATTCTGAAAACTTTACAGGCTCAGAGGGCCATTGTTAAGGGAAACCAACTGCAGACCCCCAGCTAGCAGCTAGATTCCTCTCCCCCTGGAACCAACAGTGAACTTCTGTTTGTTCCAGGGGGTCATTGTAACTCAAAGCACATCCTGCAAAGTGCTCTCAGTTACAACGGGGAGCTGCACTTCTGTCTGCACTCTGTTACAGCAGATAATGGTAATGTCCCCCATTCAGTGTCCCCTCATTCAACCTGTACTCAGCATGAATACTTAAGCTGTTTTTTTTCAAAATGAGAGTTTAATGTTGGGCTTCTAAATCCTCTGGAGCTGATAGTTTTAAAGTAGCTGAAGGAAACTAGGTGCCCAACTCAACTGACCATAGTGGAAGCCAGGTGCCTGATTCCTTTAGGCTTCTTTGAAAACTGTAGCTTGAGTGCTCAAGTATAAGTTCAACAGCTTAACGTCATCCCCTCATTTTTTAGAATCTTGGTGTAAGACTTTGTGGAAGGAGTGAATTTCACCCAGATCAAAAGCAAAAAACTTGATCCATGCTTTGGTGCTATTGTCACCAGAAAACCCTGAGCAGTGTTAGCAGAACACATCCTATTTTTACTGGCAAAGCTGAGCACAGTAAATGCAGACACCAAACCCATTGGAACTTTATTTATTCCTTTGCATCTTAAAGGAAGTCATTCCTTATGTTAACAGGTTCTGCTGAATGAAAGAGATCTGTCATGCTTTCTTTAAAATAGGTTTTAGACAATGATATCCTATTAAGTTATATGTAAAGTGATTTCTTGTTTCCCATGTGAATCTTTATCCCTTTTTACCATACTATTTTTCACATGGTGAAAAATCAGTTAATATAAACTACACAAAACTGCAGTTATAGAAGATATCAGTAAAGATTAAGGTTTCCCACAAAGCCATAACATTACCATAACATTTTTAAATTGCTTATCTATATTTTCTACATCATATTTTAATGAGGTATTTACCTATATTGCCATAATATAACAGCTAAGCTTTCACATTATCACTTTTTAAATATAAGTTAGACACTAGGTTTGACGCGTCTGTTGGAAGCATCTGTTCTTAAAAGACTATGACTCATTTGCTGTCAATAATGTAATACTCCGGTTGCTACTCACAAATGAAGGCCTCCATCCAGACAGCTTTTATTATTCGAAACTGATTCTGTTTTTATACAATGTAAAAATGTGAAAACCAGTTTTATTTTTCCATTTCTAATAATATAAAAGCATCTTTTCCAGGGCTGTCTGAATTGTATGTTTGCTTTCTTTATGTAAAGGTCATCTTTTCATCATTCCAGTATGGTAATAAGGCAAAGTTACATTTTATAACACTTTGGATTGTTGTGCATAACAATTCACTGTGCTCATTTATGGTTTATTCACACAATATGCGGTGAGTTCCTGAGTGCTGAACCAATTCAGCTTCCATGAAATTTGGAAGAGCTTAGTACCTGCAAAACAATCTTTGCAGCGTCCCACTAAGGCTGGCAAAACGTCTTGTGGGTGTAAAGCTCTTCCTGCGTGAATTACTTGGCATGGTTAGTGCCCTAAGAATGTATTTGGGTAGCAGCCACTATTCTTGCTGAAACTTGAGATTGTTAGTAGCATCAGCAAGATAATTGAGCAGATGCTACTGATTTCACTGAATGAATGGCATCTCACCTTTCATACAAAAGACATGTTATAGGAACACATTTTGCTCTCACCAAGTTTTTACACTGCTAATCAGAATTGTATTATACAAACCTCACAAAGTGTATAGACATACAAACAAACAAATATATGGTGAAAGGAGACTTCAGCCCACATCAGCTGCTCCACAGCATCTGCCTTTGTGCACATTCTTCTAGATGGTAAATGGAAGCTAGCTTGTAGTTATTTACTCCTTCATTGAGCTAAGCTGCCACAATGTAGCTTTCATTTATTGCAGGGCAAGAGTATACAAAGGAGCAGTTGCCACAGAACACCTGCACACTAAAACCCTGTCCCCTTTTTCACCCAGTTTGGGGGAAGCAGTAACAATTTGCAGACCATGACAAGGCAACTTTTAGTGTTGGATGCTTTTTCCTATACCCAAACATCACCCACATACACACAATTAATTAAAAAGCTGACAATCAACTTCAGAAGTGGGGGTTGGACTAGATAACCTCCTGATATAGGCAGATTAATGCACGAGTCAGTGGGGCCTAGGTGCAGGTTCCCTTACCCCTGCCAAACAGGGACCCCCCAAATGCCTGGGTTCCCCTGGGAAATGGCTGCTCCCTGCAGGTAAGTCTAATGGTGGGGAAGGGGTAGGGGGTGCAGATTGAGGCCTCCATGGTGAGGGAGTGGGGCAGGGGCTGGGGGTCCTGCCCAGCCAGGGCAATGCATGGGATCCAGGGCCAGGACAGGGAGTGGGACGGAGCTACAGGTGGCTCATCTAGGGGGTACAGGGGGCTACTCCCCAATGTTGCACATGCCCCCAAGGGAGACATGAGGGGCATGTGCTTCCCATATTTGTGTGTGGGGCGGACACAGGCTGCTCTCTGTGGGCTTGGGGCTCTCCATTCTGCTGACTTTGCCCCAGGAACCCCACGCTGGCTGGGTGCCCCCTGCCCACCTGGCAGCATTGGGGCCAGCAAGTTGTGCTTCCCACTGCCAGGTGGGCAGGGGTCGCATGGCCGGAGCGGGGCCCTCTGGGCAAAGACAGCAGAGCGAAGAGCCCTGAGCCCGCAGCAGGCAGTCCGCATACACCTTTGCCCTGCTCCTCTCCAGCATGGTGTGGGGAGGGGAACAGGGATCAGGGAGGAGAGGCGGGGATGTGCCACCCCACCCCCAGCCCAGCCGGGTTCACCCCGCCTCCCCCATGGGGCATGCAGGCCCACCCCACTCTTGGCAGTGGCAGCACCAGGAGGCAAAGGGGCCATTCCCTCCACTGGAGTCAGCTTCAGGAAGGGGCCTCCAATTTTCTGTTTGCACTGCTTCCTGAGGTCCCTTCCTACCCTAATTTTCTATGATCATATTAAAAAAAAAAAGTTGGTTGTTTTAATTTAAAATGAGGGACCAGTTTTGGCTCATTTAAAATAGGATCATAGAGTTGGAAGGGATCTCAGGAATCATCTGAGTCTGCACGTATTCAAGACTGGTTGCCTCTAAATCATCGCAAACAAATGCCTACCTTGCCTCTTCTGGAAAATCTCCAAGGAAAAACATTCTACAACTTCTGTGGGAAGCTTATTCCACTCTCCTACTGCTCTGACAGTCAGGATGTGTTTTCTGAGATTTCATCTGAAATGGCTGTGCTGAAAGTTTAAAACCTTTGCCACAAGTACTGCCTTCTGTGCAAGAGAAAACAGTATCTCCAAGAGGGCATCTGAGAACAGAATTTAGCTGAGTATTTTCAAATTAACATCCTAATGACAGAACCTCCACACCTAAACAAAAAGGACTGTTGAGGCAGATTCTTTCTGCACTTGAGCATAGGCCCAACACAATGACAAGGTATAATATGAGGGGAATGCTCACCAGACCAGTGACCCTTCAAATCAAGGCCTGGAGCTTAAGCTATAGTGTTTAGTAAATTGAATGAAAAAACAATGCTGCCTCAAAAGATTCACTGTTGAATAGAATGTTTCCAAAAGAAACTGGTATTGGGTGCATCCCCACATGCAGGCACATGTGTTTGCAGCAGCTCAAACAGCAGTAGCACAAATTTATGCCAGAAATTTGTGCCTCAGCACATGTGCCTGAATGTGCACTTTGGTGTGGGGCAAATTGTGCCACTGGGGCAAACTGACCCCGCCCAACTTCTCCCAGATCTTCAGCCAGGGGGAGCTAGAGGCTGGGGCCAGCACCTCCTCGGATGCCTTTGAGGACTAGTGGGTGCAGCCTGGGGGTCTCTGCTCAGTGTCCCCCTCAGGCGCACTCATTTTTTGACCCTTTGACCTTCATGTTGCTCCCTTTCTGTTTTTTGCCTTTGTTGTCCCAAGTATTTTGTTGTAGCATTCACCCATTAGCCTCCATACAATAGGGGCTACTAGTTAGTAGGGTGGGCCTTAGGGTCCATGGTAGTTGAATGTTACAAATAGACAGGAGCTTCTGAGGCCTAGTCAGTTGGTATCTGGGGACACTAGCCCCTCTTGCCAGCTGGACTGCTGAAGCATCCCTAACCTGGAGTGGTCCCTGCATCTTCTACCCACTGCAGCAGTCTGGCAGTGGGGGCTGCTGCCTGGCTGTGACCTGCTGCCACCTGTAACAACATCCGCCTCCTTGGACCTGCAGCCCCATGGCTGCATGCCTGCCAGACCCAGATGGGGACCACATGGATGCCTGGGTTGTGATATGGGCACTGCAGCAGAGCCTCCTGCACTTCTGGGCCAGCTGCCAGTGGGCTGCGTCTGTACAGTTGGCCTTCATGCAAAACTGCTATCATGTCTTCTGGTGCCCCTGTTCTGCCATCTGAGCAGCTATCGTCCAGAAGATGTGCTCATTGCGGTGGCCCACTTTGAACTGTCAAAGTATGTCCTCCTGGCCCCAGATAGCCAGGTCAGCCACCTCGTCTACCCTCCAGCTGGGTCCCTGGTGCTGGCCCTAAGCAGGCTGCTCTGCCCAAGTCTCTCCATGTGCCTCACTAGCAGAGATCCTGGTGTCCCCTGTTTAAAAATTGGAAATTATCTAGTAAAACTCAAATTCTCTCATTAAAATATCCAAAATCTGTGTTCTTCTATGATTAAAATGAAATGCCACTGTATATAGAGAGAGATCAGTTGGGCAATGTTTTATTAACGTATTTATAATTTTTAAGCAATTTGGAAGCCTACCAGTTCCTCCATCATCATAATAAATGAATTCTAAATATCTATACACTTTGGCATTTGCTTTTGGTTTTTTTATCATAGAAAAATCAGAGCTGGCCCTGCCCCCTTTGCTCACCAGGATGTGGAGTGCTGAACAGCACTGATATGCCAGTGCTCTGCCCCTGCCCTTGCCCCTCACTCCCAACCCACCTTCGTCCCCCTCAGCCCCGGCCTGCCCCCCCTCTTTCCCGCCTGGCAGCAGCTTCATCTCAGCACCAGGACAGAAGTCCAGCTGCAGCTGTACCACCTGCTGTTTTGTGGCTCTGAGCAGTGCCAGCCCTTGCTGTTTTGCTTCCTGCAGCTGTGCCTAGGCCCCAGCAATCCCCATGCTGTTCCTTGGAAGCCCTCAACTGGGACTCAGGGACTGGGCTGGGTAAGCCCATTCCCTTCCAGGCTGGCCGCCTCCTGCACAGGCTGCTGTAGCGGGGCAGAAGGCAAGCTAGTTAGGGGTGATGCAGAGAAGCCTGAAGTATTACATGCATTTTACTTCAGTCTTCATGAATAAAGTCATCTACCAGTTGCCCACAAAGATGAGAAGAGAGACAGACAGCCTAGAGTAATAGAAATACAGGTTTGGAATTACTTAGGAAACTAAATGCTTTCAAGTCAGCAGGACTGGATGAGATACACCCTAGGATACTGGAAAAAAAAATGGATGACGTAATTTTGGAGCCCCTGGCTATTGCAGGGGTGAGCAATTATTTGGGCCCACAGGCCACATAGGGAGTTTTGAAGAGCTGTTGTGGGCCAGGTCAGCAGCACCCTCCTTCCATACCCCCGCCTCCCACAAGAGCTCACCAAAACTCCCTAAGTGAAATGGGGCTGTGGATGGGTGGGGAGCTGGCATAGGCATGGGCAGCAGCTTCAGCAGGGGCAGCTCAGCCAGGGCCCCTGCTGCCACGAGCACTGCCTCTGGGCTGCCCTTCTAACCCCCACCACCCAAACCATCCCACACCTAGACTATATCCCTGAAGCTTACACCAGCTTCTGGCCTGCATGCTGGAAACAGCACCTGGCAGGCACTGGTATCAGCTGTGGTTGCAGCTGGCAGGTGCCCCCTGGATATAGGGGTATCTGCCTGAGTACGTAGGTGACCCTGCTGTATTAGCATGTCAGCTGCAGTCCCAGGCAGTTACCCTGATGGCCAGCAGGAACCTGCCGGAAGTGTCTGTAGATCCTGGCACATGCGGTAGGAGCTGGTGTAAGGTGTGGACAGGGCCAAGACATGTCTTCCCACCCAGCATGACAGCAGCTGGAGCTGCCAGTTCCCCCACAGGCCAGATCCCATGACTTTGTGGCCACTCACCTGCTGCTTGGATACAATCAGTTGGCATGCTGGATCTGTCCCATGGGTCATATTTTGCCCACCCCAGGGCTATCATCTTTAAGAACTCATGGAGGTGG